CTAAAAGTGCTACCGCCAGACCCGGAGATCGGCTGAATGGATTCGAAAACGGTAAAACTCAACTGTTTTAACTCTAGGGGAGTAGGAAAATGAGCCTATTTTCAAAAATAGTGGAGTGTTCCTTTAATACTTACATCCCAGAAGAGATTAATATCCCTGGTACCATTTTTCGGGTTATTTTCTACCCAGCGTATTACAGGTCGGCGCCTGATTTCTGTAGAGAGGTGACATCTGTTAACCGAATATTTTCAGATGCATGCTTTTGAAACTGCAGCATTCATTGATGGATACAGCTGAAATCAAACCTGAGGGAACATCCACCATTTGGCTCCAGTCACTCCAGAGAGCATGTAGTGAGTCTTTACATTGATGTGACTTCAGTTTGGCCTGCCGCCTCAGTTGGATCTGGTAGATAGTCTGGCTCTGTAGATGTAGCATGTGGAAATCTACAAGCACATCTCAATCAGTTTTGTATATTTTGGGAAGGATGGGCACAAAATTTCAATCTCATTAGAAATACGTGACTGCAAAACCTGTTGCTCCGGTTACATTTTCCTGCACTTGTCAGATGCGGGTTTATTAAACAGCACAGTGTCATGAAAAAGCATGCCAAAAAACATGTGCACAAAATGGTTGCAATAACAGATGGATATTATGTTGCTTGCAGTAGGGCTTCACAATGATGATTATGCTTAATAAATTCTCTCAGTTTATTAAGCATAATCATCTGTGATATCTGCCAGGTTATGTATCCTATCTTGCATTGGTAATAAGCCTTCGCAGTTTTTTAAAGAGTTCAAAATTAACATTTAAAATTGAAATTAATTCATGAAAATTTAAAATTTCAAGAGTTTAAAATCCCCCAATCAGGCTTATTTTACTTTACCTACAGACTTTACTTAATCGTCCCACGCTTTCCCTGGAAAAAGTAAGCAAAAATAAGCATTTAATCAGTGATGAATTGAAACTTACGGAGCCCTGCACATGACATGCAAGAAAAAATAAATAAATCGTGCGCTAATTCGTTCCCTCAATGTACTAAAACATGCACACGATTATTATTTCATTCCCTCGGTTTGCTAAATCGTGCGCACAATTTACTAATTCGTTCTCTCGATTTATAAATCGTGCACACGATTTAGCCTATTATTTTTTTCCTGCATGCCATGTGCAGGGCTCCATAGAATCTAAAATTGCTGTAATCATTTGTGTGGAAAGGAACAAAAGTTGTTGGTGTTTTACTGCCTCTAGTGTTCATTTCACTTGGAAACTGCCTATGTATAGGAACATTTTTGCAGTTTTTGGAGTCACATATTTCCAGTGAGCCTAGGTTGCAACCTTCAAATATTAAGATCGTTTAAAGGGGTCATACATAACCATTACGTTTTTTATTACTAAATTACTAAAATCATATTTAAAAAAAAAAGTGAGTTCTGGAAATTACAGAATGTTTTCATAGTACATTGAATTCTTTTATTTAAAAAAAAACATTGTTATTTTTTGAATAATGCATTTTGAATATGTCATTAACTCTTTTTTTATAAACACAAGGACAAATCACTGTTCAGACCATTCAGACTACTTTATTTCTGCACATGTGTAATTTGTATTAAAAGAATAAGGACTCTAACCTTCAATAGTGCTGTCCTTAGTTTCAAATGTTGTCTACAATCGGAGAACATAATATTAGCAAAATAACAGATTAATTTCAGGATTTTAAAATATCAGATTTTCCGAAACATCTTACATTCTGCCATTCAGAGTCCCTTTCTCTCCATCTGATCTCATATATAGCACCTCTGTTATCCTTCGGTTTGTCCAGTGTGAGATTCAGGATTCCAGCTGACCTTTTCATGCTGATAATCTGAGGTTTACGGTATTTGACTGTTGGCAACATAAGTATACATTAGCAAAATGTTACGCTGCATTGATTTCTGATCCCACCATATTGGCCCTCATTAATCTAGTATAAACTTACCCATGCATTCAAGGATGACTGAGATTTTGCTAGAATTACAGGTGAGGTTGCCCACTTGTGTCTGTACCCATATGTCTGTCGTTCTTGACGGGATTCCTAGTTCCTCCAAGAGAATGTTTACCTGTGCTGGTTTGCTGCACTTCACATGCGTACGAAAACTGTTTTTTTCAGTGTCCCTGTGAAAGTTAGCTTTATGATGACTGACATGCATTATCAAGCCTCAGTATCTGTTGAGTTTTTTACACACAGTCGAACGCACAGTCTTTCATAGGTTTACACTTTCTTGCAACTATGAAGACAACATGATTTGTTTGTGTTACTTTCATGCCTTGTGTTGGTTGAACTCACCATATATGGAGAGTGTGTGTTTGACTCTTCTCAGGGTTTCTCTCATCCCATTCACAAATGAAGTCCTCTTCTGGTCTAGTTGAAGTTTTGTAACAGTGTGGACTACTTGTAGGCACACATCGTGCTGCTTTAAGAACATTTAAATGATGTAAAAAACAACAACAACATCTGTACTGCTGTACAGATGTACAGTAACATCTGTACTGTACAACATCTGTACAGATGTTGTAAAAAAACAACATCTGTAAGCTACACACACAAGGCATTTAACTTGGTGACAGGAGCTTTCACGAAAAGTATAGATATATAGATTATGTGTGAATAAAAAACAAAAAATACAATAATGAAAGAGACAATTACATTTAAATAAAATACAATGCATTAATAATTTTTTTAATAGTTTTTGAAAGAAGTCTCATTACTTACCACGGATGAATTTATTTGATCAAAAAAAATCTTAAGATCATTAATACTGAAATATTATTACACTTTTTATATACATTGTAAAAATGTAATTTATTCCTGTAATGCAACGCTGAATTTTCAGCATCATTACTCCAGTCTTGACAGAAATCATTCTAATATGATTATTATTATTCTTATCAATGTTGAAACGTTTTTGCTGCTTATTATATTTTTTGGAAACCATGACAAAGTAGCATTCAAGTACTTTTTTTAAAGAAATAAATATTCATCAAGAATGTATAAAATTGATATGAAGTGATAGCAAAGACATTTTAATATTACAGAAGACTTCTACTTCATTTAAATGATATATATTTCCACCAAAAAAAAAATCAAGCAGTAAAAATTGTTTTCAACATAATAATATGCACCAGAATGAGTTCTGAAGGATCATGTGACACTGAAGACTGGAGAAATGATGCTGAAAATTTAGCAGTTCATCACAAGAATAAATTAGATTTTAAAATATTTTAAGATAGAAAACCATTTGTTTATATTATAATAATATTTCACAACTTACTGTATTTTGGATCAAATAAATGCAGTCTTGGTGAGTGTAAGAGACGTCTTTCAAAAACATTTAAAAGATCTCAATTAGGCCTATTCCAAACCTTCGACCAATAGTGTATAACCATTCGAAGTCATCTATTTACATTTCAGTAAGTATGTGACTTTTTAAATGGGTCTGATGTAATGATAAAAACATCGTCAAAAAAGGCGCAATTTGTTTGCATCCTGTGGTTTATAGTTGTTTAATGGCGGTTTAGTCAAATGGCGTTTGTAGGTTCACAGCACTGATAAAATCTACACACCATGACACAAGAGCACAATCATCTGAAATCTATATCATTACTTCCGTAAAAGTCTAGCAATCTAATCTCAATGTCATCTGCGGTGTTGTGTATGTGCTATCAGCCATGACAGAAAAAAGTCAATGACATACATACCTTCAGTCAGACTGACAGAAACAACAAGCACCAGCACAGCCACTCTCATCCTCATCGCTTCTAGTGTTCAGAAAGCTCCTCACTCGTGAGACATGGCCAATACATAGGCGAGCCAGAGTTCACGTTAACGGCCGCTGTCTCTGAAGTCATCTAGACAACAGAAAGCTGAAGGTGTTTAGTCTGTACGTACTAGTCATGCGTGTTTCTGGGGCAGAATGAAGTGCTAACTACTGCAACACCACAAACCACAACACGAAAGCAGCAGGGGAAGCTTGTCTCACTTCATGAGAAAAAACACGTTTGGTTACCTGTTACACCCCTGAATGTTGTGCCTTCACCTTCAAATGGGAACATGCTGGACGGAGATGCTAGTTGGCTTGTTTACAGATCATAAACCTAATTGTGCGAGCCTATTGAGATCGCTTTCCAACCAAATCATCATTAGCCTGACGTGGGAGGCATTTAGTAAAGAGGTGCTTCAGAGTAATCAGGATTTGACCCCTGAAACCGACTCCATTTTTACATCCTCTTTTCATTTGTTAGTGTCTCCCTCTTCCTAAACACACAAACCCTTCAAAACATCATGAACTCAAAAAGAATGTAAATACTTGTAACTATGTAAATACTTTATACCTGACTTAATAAATGATGGCAAAAATCCCCTTTTACTCAAACATCACAGCAGTAATACCTGTAATGATGCCTCATAATGCATCATCTGTCATCAACTGAACATTCTGTATTACTAATGCCCAATTATTTTTTATTTTTTTATTATTTTGTTTTGTTTTCTTATTTTATTTTATTTTGTTTTCTTGTTTTGTTTTGTTTTGTTTTCTTATTTTATTTTGTTTTGTTTTGTTTTGTTTTGTTTTGTTTTGTTTTGTTTTGTTTTGTTTTGTTTTCTTATTTTATTTTATTTTATTTTGTTTTCTTGTTTTGTTTTGTTTTGTTTTCTTATTTTATTTTGTTTTCTTGTTTTGTTTTGTTTTGTTTTGTTTTGTTTTGTTTTGTTTTGTTTGCTTTGCTTTGCTTTGCTTTGCTGTGTGTCTGTTCTCTGAAATCTCAGCCAGGGTTATTTATAGTTTTTTTATATCTGTGTGTGTGTGTGTGTGTAACAATAACTAATACCAAGTAATACTAAAACTGAAATAAGAATTCATAAAAACTAACAAATAAAACTACTAAAAAACACACAACAAAATTACTAAAACTATAAAAATAAAAAATGATTCAAAATATTAATTAAAATTTGTATAGTATCTCAATTATAATAAACTAGTAACTATAGTATTTCAATGACACTGATCTCAGCTCAGTCTACGTTTCTTAAGACTACTGTAACTCCTGTGTATTTTACCTTGTCGGTAAACCTATGAAGGTTTCTGTCAAATGATCAGGGCAATTTGGTTTCACTTCTAATATGTGTTTGTGGGTGAGGTGAATAGGAAGGCTTCAATTTAACCGCACTTTGTGGCTACTCTTACGGTGATATTAACTGCTTCCTGAAGTTATTAAGAGTAACTGTGTAGCTAAGCAGTGAAGGTAAGTTGAGTGTTCATCTGAGAGAAGAGCTTTCCAACTTCACTAAAGTCTCTTCAGATCTTATGCAAAATTAGAATGAAAGTAGATCAAAAACCGTGCTTTTATGTCTTGTTTGTGATGAAGGCACATTAGTAAAAAAGGTCAATGGAAAGGTTTTCTGGAAATGGTGACATTCATTTTCTGTGACGTTGACTCTTGTGCAAATCTCAAAAGCAAATAATAAATATATTAATGTAACTCACTTATAAAATGTTCCTATGTAAAAAAAATAAAAAATAAAATACTAAAACATTTACAGTACGTTCCTAGCTACTACTGAAACTAGGGTTTCCATGCATGCACTGCGCTCAGTTTTGTTCTTATTATGACTGAGAGAAAGTATTAAAGTAACTAAATGAATTACAGTTCAAATTTAATTAAATTCCCAGTCATTACATATATTTCATTTTTATATTAATTTGTTTTATGTTTTATTTACAGTCAGGACCGGATTTACACATATGCATTCTAGGCACGTGCCTATACTTGCTCGTCCAGGGGGGGCCCAAACACAATGAAGAGATATATAATATTTTTGTTATACAGTACTATGGGATATCTACAACAGTAAAAGAACCAAAAACCCCAAAAGACATTGAGCAAATAAATATAACAAACAATAGGGTAAAAATGACAAACTATTTCCATGTCTTCAACCTTTTTATGTACGGAAATCACGCTTTCTTTCTCCCAGTCTCTCTCACAGACGCACACACAGTACAGACACGCACTCGCGCGTTTTTCAGTAGCGAGGTTCTTGAAGCAGTTCAACTTAAAAATTCGCTATTAGTAGACGCTGAACACTGCCGAGAGATGCACAGACGCAAGTAGGCCTATTCACATACACTTAATCTCTCTCTCTCTCCCTCTCTCTCTTTCGCTCTCTCTCTCGCTCTAATAACTGCGTTAGACTGCATTAATAACTGCCTGCATATCAATGGCTCAAGCCTCTGTTATTAGCTCTAAAATTATGTTTTGGAATTTGCAACGGAAGGTTTGGGATGAGGTGCGTAAAACATTACCTAGTTCAACACACTTCAGGACAGAAACATGTCAAATGTCTTGAAACAATTCATCTGAACAATTGATATGTGATTGTGACTCCAGGCCGTTAAAATTATTAGAGAACTAATGCACTTCCGAAGTGGTTATGAGGCCATGACGCCGCGCCTATTAATGGAATGGTCTTTCTCAGTTCTCAAACAAATTAAGAACTACATTCGATTTTTATTGACTGAACGCAAGCGCTTATTGCGATAGAAAACACTGTAACGGTTTCCACTGATTAAGAAATATTTTTGTTTGCTTGGGTGGTAATATTAGGCCTATTATATTAATAGGGAAGGGGGGCCCAAAAATTTATTTTGCCTATGCCACGAAAAGTGGTAAATCCGGCCCTGTTTACAGTGTTTATGGCAGAAAATAACTTAAGCCAGAACTGATTTGAAATTTAAATTCTAAATGCAGCAATTATTCTTAAATCTTGGAAATTTTTAACATGTACGTCACAAATTCTGTTAGCTGTTTTTTAAACCAAAACAAAATCGGTATTATCTTCCTGTTTTTGCACATATAAAGAACATTGCTGAAAATAAATAACTCGAATAAATAACTCTGGGTTTATTTTATTTAAAATAATTAAATGAATAAGATGTCGATAGAACATATTATATTTATAATTTGAATAAAAATAAGAGGCATCTGATTTTCAGCCATATGTCGCGTTTTGTCGCCATCTCGTGGTCAAAATTTGTATTGACAGTATGTCTACCTCTATAAATCCCCAAAAATATATTAAAATACATTAATACCTGCTGAATCTTGTAGGTTAACCAGCTAAAAGTTACTAGTAGCATATTCTGAAGACTCACAATGTGATTTTCTTATATGTGACAAGCAAAAAATATAAACATGACAGTGGTAAGTATTTTGATTGACATTTAGTACATGTGCTGAGAGGCCAAAACTTTCTCATTTCAGCATAAGATTCATCAAGATTCTATTATTAAAAGCAAGTCTATGAATGATGATGCGTGCATAAAAATCTGTGGTCATGCTGCAATTAACCAGATTCTACTGTTGCTGTCTTGTACCACCGATATATTTTATTTTTAATCCAAAAAACAGAAGTGGTTGTGACAGTAAGTCATTCTGTGTGTTTGCTGAGTTCACTTCTGTTTATCACCGATTTATAATCAGCAAAAAAGAGAGGGAGAGGAGGAGGTAGGTCCTCATCACCATGGTAACTGAAAGACCTCAGCTCTCTCTTATTTTGCAGTCCTCAACACAAAGAGAAGAGAACAGAAAGGAAAGCCCTAAAATGTTTACCATAATTCCTGTTTATGCTCATATCAACGCCAAGTTACTCAGCCAGAGCATTTTGAAAACTCCTACTTGATTTAAACTGCATATACCCTCTTAAGGATGTGCAAGCGTTGAATTAGCTCATTGCATTGATGTCAGCATTTGTAATCAGGAAGCAATACTTTTGGTATGTGCAAATTGCATGTCTGCACGCCTGCTTTTGCAGCCAGGAAATGCAATCAGCTGATTGGACAGTGAAAACTGTAATCATTAATAACATGCCAAGGCATTGCGACAAAATATAGATACTGAACGAACAAACCCCAGTAGTGTAGGGATAGTTTTCAATGGACTCTTTTGAGGGTTTCTGGTGTTGTTTGTTTGGCAGAGTTAATGCACATTGTTGAAGTGTGTTATGGCAAGCCATTTTAACATTTATTCCCTAAATTAACTAGAATGAATATATTATGTTACTAGCACTTATAAATTTAATAATTTTTTTAAATATTTATCTTTATTATGCTAGGAAAGATCAGAGCTGACAGGAAGCAAAGTGGGAGAGAGACAGGGGCAGGATCGGGAAAGGTCCTCAAGTTGGGATTCAAACACGTGACGCCTGTAGCGCAACAGCACTGTATGTCGGCGTGCTGCCCACAAGGCTATCAGTGCCAACACGTTTAAAAATGGCCTAGGACCTAAATACATTGCAGATATGCTCACTGAATATAAACCCAACAGACCACTCAGATCATTAGGATCGAGTCGGTTAGAAATACCAAGGGTTCACACAAAACAAGGGGAATCTGCTTTTAGTTATTAAGCTGCCCGCAGTTGAAATCAGCTTCCAGAAGAGATCAGATGTGCTAAAACATTTAAACACATTTAAAGTCCCCGTGAAATCAAAATTAATCCTGGAAAGTTTTCAACATTTCTGGAATGTTTCCGAAATTAAGAATATATAAGCATTCAAAGCTTGCAGCTCATCACTTCCGCCAAAATGGATCAACGATTTTTTTGACGTCACCTCGTACTTCGGCTTCTCATCAAATTTTCTGACCAATCAAATGCTCTCTAAGCCGAAGCGCCCGCCCCCTACACTATAAATAGACGCTGAAGCTGCAGCTGAAATCGGTCACTTGTTCACAGAATTAGTATTTTCTGTACGGTGAATGGCACGTAATGCAATATATAGGAGACAGGGAACGATTCAGACAGTATAAATATGCTTTACATTGGGGCGAAAGAAGTCTGGTTTCGCGCTGTTTCACATGAACTGCCGCACCGCACACACAGTCTGCTCCAGTCCAGAGACACGATAGGAGCAGATCATATGCACGAATCAGCGCAGACCACAAAATGTATCAGACCCATTTGAATTCTACACCGAATGGTATATTTTATAATGGATGAGATGTGTGGCTATCATACCCTGTCAAACGTGGCTTTAGTTTACAGAGCTCAACAACAGCGCTGCTGCGCTAGTCAGCTGTGATATAAACGAACGCTATTGGCTATTTTAAAAAGAGGCAGGGCTGCATGATATGTCCCGCCCTGTCTTCCTGTTTTAGTTAAAATTATGTCAACACATAGAATAATGGTGTTTCAAAGCACTTCAGTGGACCTGTAATTCCAGACTCAAAACTCATCTGTTTAGCTGTGCATTTACTGAATGAGCGCTGTGCTACGTCCGAACTGATTGCACTATATTTTGTATAACTGTTTTAATTAATTTTAAATTAATAAAATTTATAAATTCCTTGTTTTTATTGTTGTGATTATTTGTTATGATTATTTTAATTCCTTTTATGTAGAGCACTTTGAATTACCATTGCTTATGAAATGTGCTAAATAAACTTGCCTTGCCTAATTACTATTAATAAGCCAAACTGTCAGGATCCTGGAGTAATTCTTGTTTTTTTTCTTTGTTATGTCTTGTGAATTGTTTCACTTACTCTTGTGTTTCCTTTTGTTAGTTATAAGTGCTGTCGGCAGGCCACGAACACGTACGGGTCTCCCGAGTTGGCTGACCTGATCATGTGATCAATAAATGAGCGGCATCTGTTCCTAATTTTCTTTCTCTATATTAACTCCATTCCATTTTGTTGCCAAATCATTTTGAGCTTTTTGCTTTCTTTTGTTTTCTTCTGTGATTTGTGCTCAGACCAGTATCTATCACCACTCATCGGCTCATGTTATTTCAGTTTTGAATCTTGACATTGCGCCATTGGCATTTGTAACTCCGAGAATTCCTAAATGGAGAGTTGTTGTTTTTTTCTCATTCTGGAGCTGTTTTCATCTCATCGCTCTCCTGTGGATTCTATGGTTTATTGTCATGGAAGTCTCGTCCATGTCCATTTCATGTTTGGCATGAATGTTTTCTACCAGTTCCTTAATAACACTTATTTTGATTATTTCATCAACTTAAAAAAATGTTTGTAATATTGTGACTGTGACAAATTGTACATAGTTTTTTTTTTGCCACTTTGGAGCCCCCTACAGAAATAGTATCACTAACACTATACACAAGTGGTATCACTTGTCTGTATTTGTGGTAAAACTGCTGCCTAAAACAGATTATTTCCTGGATGTCAGATTTTCGAATTTGTTGCCTATGCGATTTTGTTTTATTCAATAGCTACTCTGCCATCTGTATTTGCTAAGTACCTTTTAGTAGGGTCATTCACTCAGAACGCATTTTTCATTCCACTGCGGTACTTTTCCATTATATTTCAAACTACATGCGCTACTGACGTCTTTGAATTTGTGCTTGAATGCTGCGCTCGTCTCAGGTCTTTATAGAAGCTTGTCGCGCATAATACATCATTCTAAAACACGGCGCTCAAGTTCAAAGAAATTCAGCTTCTAAAATCATGTCTCTAGACCTTGTGGTTTAAAAAAAAACACTCGCAACCAAAACACTATCTGTGTGAACCCAGTATTCTAATAGTAGTGGGCAGGTTTGTTCACGGCCCGACAAATACGTGAATGGGCCACATATGTTTTTTTTAACTTTGTGTTATGTCATCACCCCCTTTCGTTACCTCAGCCGCCTCCTCATCAGTTCTGCGCTGGCGCCGGCTCTGTACCAATAACAATGTAATAGTGACTAGTATAGCAAAGGAATAAGACTAACTGAAAAGATAAATATAAAACAACAGTAAAATAGTAAAATATAGATACAAGCTTTAATGAACAGGCTACGTGTTAACACGGCTTGCCACACAAACAGCTCGTTGGTCAAACGCTGCCCTGATGCGATGAAAACTAATTACATGCTTATCAAAGTAAAATGTCTCACATATATTGAAATGACAGTTTCCAGTGGTCTCTCGGGGGTTTTTTTTCCCCCCACCTCCCCTGAGCAATCACATGGGAGATGTGACCGCACCATTCAATCTCAACCATTCATCTCTCACTCGCTCTGCCTACCAGAGTCACCTTCACTTAGAAACATGCCATCAACTAAAAGTGTTCCTTGAGAATTTGTCTATTTTAAGGAAGTGTCTGCACTAGTACAGCGGAAAACCTCACGCTGTCGTTTGGCAGATGTTAAACGACGATGTGTAAACAGTGGGCACTTTGTGCCGTGTCGCGTGAGATCTGAAACAAGCTGCTTATTTTCACCTGATCGTGCTTCACGGGCTCCTTGGAGATGAAGAGGAGAGACAAGCTGAAAATCCCCTCCCTCACTTTGGAGTAAGCTCAAATATATGTTTTTTCGTTATTCAAATGTTGGTGATGAATTATTTACTCGCGACGGGGGAAACCCCTCGGAACTGGTAAGTTGTGAGAGACGAGGCGACCGCGACAGCGGCGAATTTGTACAAAAGAATCCTATCGTTTATTACTTTTTCTTCCATTCCTGTGTGTTTTATGGTTGGTACTGATGTAAACTAAAGAGTGAACTATAAGTAACGAAGTGTCGCATTCACACAGTGTTTGCTGTACGGAAGAAAATGTTGTAGCCTTATACGGGACACACTGGGGTTTTAAACGATAAATGTGTAACAATAAATATTCAAATACCTCACTATGGATTAAATTGATCATTTTGTGACGAGACAGAACATTTCCTTTTGTTTCATGCGCATTACCCAAACATACAGTCAGGTTCTTAAACCTCAAAACCCAAAATGAATAATTTCGTTAAATGTCATGTATGAATAACAACAGCCTACACTCTTAAAAATAAAGGTGCTTCATGATGCCATAGAAAAACCATTTTGTCTAAATGGTTCCATAAAGAACCTTTAACATCTGAAGAAACTTTCTGTTTCACAAAAGGTTCTTTGTGGTAAAAGAAGGTTCTACAGATTATAAAAAGGTAAGAAAGAGATGGTTCTTTAAAGAACCTTTGACTGAATGGTTCTGTGTGGAACCAAAAATGGTTCTTCTATGGCATCGCTGTGAAGAACCTTTTGAAGCACCTTTATTTTTAAGAGTGTATGTAGACTATACAGTTCATGGCTTCCTCTGTTTCAGCTAGTTTGTACACTGTAGAAAATGATTGAAGTTTTAATGGAAAAAGAATGCTACAGTAAAACAATATTTACAAAACAAACATTTTAATATATCTAAGAGCACATTACATGTAATTTTACAGTAAAATTTATGTTTTTTTACACAAAAAGTATGAATGACCTTATATTAGAAAATTATATTTAACAAAGTGCATGTACTTTTACAGTAAAATATTGTTAAAATAAATTTGTAAGTAAAAATATAAGACGCCATGTAATTTACAATGGGAAAAACAGTAAAGGTTGTGATGCATTATGCTTTACATTTAATTCAATTTTTTTTCTTATGCGTTACTTATTTTTGATGTTACGTCTTATGTTGTTTAATGTTTATTGCATTTATTTTAGTTTCACATGTGTTACCCTAATAGTGCTTGCGTACTGTCTATACAAATATTGGCGGTTTATGGATAGGCCCACTTGTTTTTACTGTATTTTTCGAAAACAACCGTTTTTCAGTAAATGTAACAGGACTATTCTTTGTTTGCCATTCCCTACCAGTCAGAATTGTATTCACTACAATCTCTTACTGCGAAATGGTTTTTTATTGGAATAGTTGCGCATCATGTTGCATCACATTACAGTTTAATACTTTAGGGGTTTGCAGATGTGCTTTCTATTGAGTGAACGCTCTAATCACACTTTCAGGATCCTACTATGAGTCAAGCTTTTAAGTGAGAACACGAGTCTGAGTGTTCTGACACTCTCCTTATCGCATCCCTATCGTTCTCTCAATGTTTTCCTGCCTTTCTGACACTTGCTTCTGCCTTCCTTCAACATGATCACTGCGGCTTTCCAACCCTGTCCTCCCACTCTGAGCACGGAGTGAATATATCCGACCCCACAGCCCACTACATTTTCAGTCCCAGTGTGTAGGAGCCTTGCTTCAGCAAAAGCATCTCCAAATATGATTGAGGATTAACTGCTGATTTATAGGGATTTTAAGCTTTGGGTTCCAATAGCACTGCATCGTATCTATAGGAACATACCAAGCGCTTTATCAAACACTGCATATTCTGAAAGCAAATGCACAGACAATGGTTGAAAGCGGCATAACATCAGATTGTAAAGCACAGGGGGGTAGTATTCACAGTTGGGTCGTCTCCAGTTTTCTCTCTTCACCATGATAAGATCTTCACACTTCTAGAGCGCTTGTTGCTATCGGTTGCAGTGAGAATATACAAACTACCAGCCCTATAGGCAGCCCTATTTGTACAGTCATGCATATTTAACGTTGCAGTTAGCTTTTAGGTCACCACGATACAAATTTGATATGCAAACCAAAGTTCATCAAAGTTTGGCTCATGCACTTGGGGGGATATTTTAGTGCAAAGTATAGAATGGTCAGTACTAAAACAGCACATTACCCTCATCAAGGTCACAATAATCAATACCTGTCTTAACTGGCTTCCGCTAACAACATGCCTCACGTCTATTTTGATTTGGTCCATTAATTCTGCTTTCAGTTTGACATGTAAATACCTGTCGGGTTAGCCTGAATATGTTTTAGGCTACTCGGCTGATGACAACATTGAATGGCACGAAGGAACATGAGAAATTGTGCTTCCTGCAGCTAATGGCCTTATCTTGATGCCTCTAATGCATTTTGTGGAACTGAAAGTTATGGTGGCAGTGAACAGTAAATGACTTTGACGGCCACACATTAAAGTAATTTACTGAGCTTTTATGCTGGAAAACACCTGCTTCCTGCAGGACCAGACTGAAAAGTGTTGACAAAAACGGCGGAAATTTGAGATTATATGGTTTTATGTTGATAGAACTCTTGTAATAATCCAGTGCGTATGCTGTCATATCTCTGATTGTATAAAACATGTTGCACGCATTAGCTGTTCGTCATACATGGTGCATTCCATCTCATCTCCTGTGACATTTTCCATCAGGATAACTGCTAATAGTGGAAATTATGTAATTTAAAGATGCTGTAAGTGAAGTTAGCCACCTTCGCCAGACTAAAACAGAATGTCTCCAACTATTCATCCAAGTCCAAGTGCTGATTGGCTAAAAAAAGTGCAGCTATGCTCAGATTTTTTACTGTTTACAAAGGAGTGATAGTAAAGACTTTTATACAGTAAAGATTTATATATGATATAAATCAAATAAATGCTGTTCTTTTGAACTTTTTGTTCATCAAAAAATCCTGGAAACAGTGGTCACATATTCCACAAAATATTAGGCTGTTTTCACTATTGATGTAAATAAGAAGTGTTTATTGAGCAGCAAATATTAGAATGATTTCTAAAGGATCATGTGATGCTGAAGACTGGAGTAATGATGCTGAAAATTCAGCTTTGCATCACAGGAATAAATTACATTTGTATACAAGTATAAAATATAAAAAAAAAAAACAGTTATTTTAAATTGTAATGATATTTGACAATATTACTATTTTTACTGTATTTTTAATCGAATAAATGCAGCCTTGGTGAGACTTCTTTCAAATACATTTAAACTTCTTCCTGACCTCAAACTTTTGAACACTAGAGTATATCCATCAGACACCCCAACTTTTAATGCATAATATTAAAAGAATGGCTTACAGCAGCTTTAAGATGGCCTTTTTAGAGTCCCTCATTCATTCATTTGTGTCATGTTTCATGTGTTGCTTGCAGCACCATAATGTCACTTAATGAATCCTTAAAGCACTTTAATTTGCAATGCTGCTGAGAGCATGAAGAAACGCCATCAAAAATACAGTCCACATGCACTTAGTCAGAGCGCTAATGCATGTAAACGTGTCTTGCTTTTCAGTTTGTCACCCAGCCAGAGCCCCATCATCCTGAGTCCATGCAGTCCAGGCAGCCCCTGCAGTCCTTTACAATCCCTTCATCCCTGGAGGTAAGACAGGCGATTCACACGCCAAAACATTACATAAACCTGCTCCGGTCCTACAGAGAGACAGAACTCCAGTTAGTCAGCATGACAGACACATCTTATTGATTGTTTTCTCATTTAATGGGACCTACACTCATATGTGTATGTAAAGCTCATGTCATGTATGATTCATATGGATAAAAGTACCTGAGCACATGGGATGTGCTTGACTGATTTTGGTGCTGTTTATCTCCTTTTTTAAAATCCCCTGCAGACGGATTATGCAATATGAGAGTATTAATTGTATAATTCGATTGCACGTGTCAAACAAATATATTTTAGTATTTTATATAATATATATGAAACAAGCCTGAAGCCCATACTGTCTGCCACATGTGTGTACTTGATTTTTCATCAAATAAAACTCAATGGACCGTTTTTGTAATTTTACTCACAAGAAGAAATGTACACATTTTTAATCATTAATTATACATTATATTTGATGGTCTGTTTTGACTAACTCTCACAAGAAAATGTAATGCCACTTGAAAAAAAAAACACTTGTTAGGTCACTAAACATGAAAAAAAGTAATTTAGAGGATGCATAGTTGATATTTCTATGACAAATACCAACAAAAATATAAAAAGTAATAATAATTTACTAAAAGTTTTTTTATGTATCATGTATATTACATGAGCTCTCACATGAAGATTTGACGTCACTGAGAATGCTTATAGGTCATACCATCTTTGAGATTCACTAAATACCTTCCATAATATTCACTTAACATGCATATATTTAGAAGATGCAGAGTTGATATTTCTATGACAAATTCCAACAAATAAATTTAAAAAAACTTTAAAAAATATCATTTTTAAAAGAAAAATATATATTTTTTAATTTATATATAAATATATACATATATATATATATATCTAGATTACCTTTAACCTAACTCGTTTATCTTTAAATAGGATAATATTACCTTATTGATATTAAAATGCAAGGAAAATATTCCATTCATTGTTATTAAGAACATAAAGTGAATTATCATTACATTATGTCAAGGTTTCCCAAACACTTCGTGAAGGAACTGCAGGGTGTTTGTGAGTTTAATGAAAAGCTAATAATTAATCATAAAAATGTAAAAATTTAAATAATTCATTTAAAATGAATGACATCAATCAAAATAACATTTACTAAAAAATAAAATATTTGTTTACCTGCATGTCATGTAGGCATTTTAGAAAGGAAATTTAAAAAGACGAAAAGAATTAGGGAGTATCAATAAATATAATTTATTGCTATTGTGTGAATATTATATGTAATCAAGTAGGCTAATCAATAAAAAGTAACTGTAGTCTGATTAAAGTGTAATTTAATCTAATTACAAGTACTAAACTTTTGGAATCTGATTACGTAATCCAGATTACATGTAATCAGTTACAACCCAGCTCTGTATTTCTATATATTAATTTTGACTAGCTCTCACGTGAAGATTTGACGTCACTGGGGAAATGCTTATGTTTGGTCATACCATCTTTGAGATTCACTATGTCTTCCATCTAATTCGCTTAAAATACAAAAATATATATTTTGAAGATGCAGAGTTACTATTTCTACGACAAAAACAAAGGGACATCTTTTAGTCAGACCCAGAGCTATCACTCGGCTTAGACTCCGAGTCAGACAGACCCCGACGGTGGTTGGCAACGACTAAGATGTGAATGGAGCAGAGATGGGAGGTAGTGACGTAGATTCCGGAAGTGAGCAGGAGATGGAGGAAGGAATGTTTGGTGGGGGCGGCTTTAGTCCACTAAAGCTGGACTGTAGTGGAAAAGCGAAAAAGAAAAAAAAAAAAAGGATTAGATCGGGATTCAGGATCGGATAGTGATAGAGAGAGTCGACAGGTCAGGAGGAAAAAAGAAGAGTATAAGGTAATGATTAAATTCTTAACGGATTCACTAAATATGCTCAATCCAATCAGAATAAACAAGGCGCTGAAGTAAGCAGTAAAATTGAAAATGCAAAAATGTTGTGTGATGGTAGACTGCTGATTTTTTGTAAGGACAGCAAACAACAAAAATCCGCATTGGGACTGAAATCTGTTATGGGAATAAAAATTACCAGCAATGTCGTGGAAGAAAAAAAAGTGGATTAGAGGAGTAATAACAGGTATTCCTACGGACATAAGTGAAGAAACTATCAAAAAGAATCTGACAGGAGCAGAAGTGATAAATGTGAAGCGACTGAAGATGATATAGAACAAAGAGAGGATAGATAGCCAATCTATTATGATTCATTTTGGAGAGAATCGATTGCCCAGTAGGGTATTTCTTGGATTTATAAGTAATGCAATTCGCCTTACATTCCGCCTCCGACAAGATGTTTTAAATGTCAGAGGTTTGGGCATGTGGCAGCGACTTGTAAGGGGAAACAGCGATGTGCCAGATGTGGTGGAGACCACGAATACGGCAAATGTGGACAAGGAGTGGAACCGAAATGTTGTAACTGTGGTGGTGCACATAGTGCTGGTTATGATGGATGTCAGGTTAGGAGAGAGGCTGAAGAGATTAAAAATAAAAAAAATTATGGAGGGAATAACATATGCAGAAGCCTGCAAAAGTGTTCGGTCTAAAAAAGGTAGTGCAACAGCAAGAACAAGAAAAGAACAGTGTAGGAGAGGAGAGGAGCAGTAATCAGTGTAGAGTGAAAGAGTCATCTTTGATAGTGGATAAGGTTTCCTTCATTGCTTTTATTGCGGAGGTTATAAACTGTTCAGCGCAAACTGAACGTAGATCTGAGAGAATTAGAATCATTATGAGAGCAGCTGGGAAATACTTGGATGTGGAGGGCATGACAGCAGATCAATAGATAACATCTAAAGGTACAGACTACAAATTCTCAAGCAGCATGTGGTGCGTTGTACTGTAATAATGTTAATAATTCTTCAGTGGAATGCTAGAAGTATTATTGCGAATAGTTTGGAATTTAAGAAATTTATTGATGATTTGGATGAAAAGCCTCAAATAATATGTGTGCAAGAGTCATGGCTCAAACCCCATTTAAAGTTTGGATTGTACGGGTATTCGGTAATAAGGAGAGATAGAGAAGTTGGAAATTGTGGTGGGGTGATAACTTTCATTAAACTAGGTATAGGATTTAGAGTTGTAGATATAAGTACAGAATATGAAACATTGGTGGTGGAGGTGTGGGATGGGAATCAGAGAATAAGAGTTATTCATTTTTACAATCCATGTGAAAAGTTAAGCAAAGATATTTTAGGAAAGATAGGGGGTGAGGGAGATTTTAATGCACACATTATGGGGGAATACAAGCAATGATAGTAACGGATATATTATGGAGGAAATACTCGACAACAATCATTTGGTTTGTATAAATGATGGAAATTATTCAAGAATGGATGCTATTAAAGGGCATTACTCTGCAATTGATTTGACAATTATGTCTCAAAATTTGGCTAAGCATAGTGTATGGAAAGTTTTAGATCAAACATCTATGGGTAGTGATCATTTTCCTATTTTGAGTAAAGTAGGAGTAGAGGTAACATCGGTTAATATTGACATAATTCCAAGATGGAAATTCAAATCAGCAGATTGGGACAAATGTAAAGAGATTTGTGAGGATAGATTTAAAGGGGTCATATGATGCTATTTTAAAGATCATTATTTTGTGGTGGCTGCATCAACACTACTGCTGTTCCATGAAACCACGCCTTCTTTCTTTGCGTGCACATTTGGGCGGCATTATGCTAATATTTCCACATAGTGATGTAGGTATGTGGGGGCGTGTTAGAACAAGGCGTTTTAGGTAGGTGTGGTTGACTGTGTGTGGGAGACTTTAGTCTTTGCAACTTTACAGATCTTCTTTATGCACAAATAGCTTGTAACACTCCAAAGAGAAAGGAAAACTTGAAATCGCTTCATATGACCCCTTTAAGGAATTAGTTGGGTCAATAGAACATGAGTTAAACTGTAAAAGTAGTGAAATTTGGAGTAAAACTGCAGAAGTAGTAATAGGAAAAAGTAAAGGAAGAAAGAAAAAGAAAGCGGTACCATGGTGGTCTGAGGACTACAGTATGGCGATCAGAATAAGAAATTGATTATTAAGGAAAGTAAGGAAGACTCGTTTGATGATTTATATTTCGTACAAAAGAGCTCAGGCTAATGTTAGGAAAGTGGTTAGAACAGCAAAAAGAAAACATTGGAGAGAATTTTGTGATAAAATAGGAGGGAAAATAGAAATAACAGAAATGTGGGGAATAATTAGGAAGATGGGTGGGATCCAGAGGTGTAATAATATTCAAGGAATAGTTAGCGAAGGGAGATTATTGCTGACGGTGAAAAAGCAGAAGTCTTAGCAAAATCATTTGTGAAAGTGCATAGTAATGGAAATATTTCTAATGAAATGAGGAATTGCAGAGAGCAGAATTTGAGGAAATATCCAAAATTGTTAGATAGAAAAGATAATGTTGAAGGTACAATTAATATACAATTTTCAATAAAGGAATTTAAACAAGCATTAATGAATGTAAGACATACATCACCTGTGATGGGAAGGATGAAATTTGTTATGAATGGATTAAACATCTCTCAGATACTTCTTTAAATATTATATTAAGTCTATTTAACAAGATATGGAAAGAAGGAAATTTACCAACTGCATGGAAACAGGAAACATTTACAAAAGTAAAGGATTGCTAAATATATAACAAAGTGGTTTTAGGAAAGGTCGAAGAACTATAGACTCAATGATTCATCTTGAAAATGATATTAGGAAAGCACTAGTAAATAAAGAAGTAGTAGTTGGGGTATTTTTTGATGTTGAGAAGGCCTATGATATGATGTGGAGGGAAGGTTTACTAATTAAATTGGTTAATGGTAGATTATATAACTGGATGATGAGTTTTTTAATGGATAGGACAATACAAGTTTGGGTGGGAAAATCATATTCAAAAATGTATTCAACGGAAAATGGAACCCCACAAGGAACTGTATCTAGCCCAATACTTTTTAATATAATGATGAGTAATGTGTTTCCATAAATAAGTAACCTGAAATAAGTAGAGCAATTTATGCAGATGATGGAGCGTTATGGAAGAGAGGAAGAAATGTAAATCATGTAGAAAGAAAAGTCCAGGAGGCTATAGATGAATTAGGAAAATGGGCAAACTGTTGGGGATTTAGATTTTCATTTTCTAAAACTCAAGTAATATGTTTTTCTAGAAAGAGACAAAATCCGAAGGTTACTTTAAAAATATATAACCAGAAGTTAGAGCAGGTTTCTGGGGTTCGATATTTGGGACTATGGATGGACTCGAAGTTAACATTTGGAATTCATATTCAAAAAATAATTGACAAGGGCATTAATATATTAAGATGTCTGGCTGGAACAGATTGGGGAGCTAGTCGACAACCTCTTTGGAGATTATACTGTGCTCTGATAAGATCAACAATAGACTATGGTAGTTTTGTATATTGCTCTGCATCAATGGAAAAAAGAGGAAAAAATTGACATTATACAATCTCAGGCATTAAGAATTTGTTGTGGTGGATTCAGGACATCCCTAGTGACATCTTTACAAGTAGAAATAGGAGAAATGCCATTAGAATTTAGAAGAATGCAAGTAAGAATGGTGTACTGGATTTCAATTAAAGGTCATGGCGAAATGCATCCAGTTAAAAAAGTCCTGGAAAAATGTTGGGAGTATGAATATTCAAAGCTATGGAAAGTGGAAAATGGTGGAAAGCTATGACTGGATAGCAGATAAAGAGGCACAGAGAATGGGAATAAATGAAATTGATGTAAGTCCAACGGTAGTATTAGCTACTGTCCCTACATGGTTATATACGTTACCAGTAGTTGACCTTCAGCTGAAAAACATAATTCTGGAAAAACAAAAATATATGTCAAAAGGAGTTGGCAGTGAGACAATATATGGACATGGAGTATAATCATCGTTTACAAATATATACAGATGGCTCAAAAGACCCAGCGTCAAATCGAAAACCTTCAGCTGTTGTCGTTCCAGAGTTAAATTATACAAGTAAAAGGATCACAGATAATTTATCAGTTTATACGGCAGAGATGATTGCAATTATGTTAGCAGTTCAGTGGGTGGAGAACTTGAATCATAAAAATGTGGTAATATGCTCAAACTCATATTCGGTGTTAACAAGTATAATGTATGGCAAATCTACATCAAGAGAAGATATACTAATAGAAATCCTTCACTCAACATTTAGATCACAAAATCAAGGAAATTGTTTTTATTTTGTATGGGTACCGGCTCATGTTGAGGTGGAAGGAAACGAAAAAGCAGATATTTTAGCTAAGAAGACCTTAAAAAATACAGAAATAGGACTTAGTATTCCTTTAAGCAAATTTGAAGTTAAAGGAATAGTAAAAAGAGCAATTAAAGGTTCATGGCAAGAGGTGGGATAAGGAGGGAAAGGGAAGACACTTGTACAGAATTCAAAGAGAAGTAGGTCATAAGAGAGTGGTTTGTGGAAATAGGAGGGAAGACGTGGTTAGGTCACGTCTCTGTATAGGTCATATACGGCTCTCAACCATTCCTTAAAAATTATTGGGAAACATGAGTAAGGTTTATGTAACTGTAAAAAAACAGAGACAGTAGAGCATGTTCTGTTAGAATGCACCAGATATAAAAATGAAAGGTTAAAACTAGAAAATCAAGTCAATAGGTATAAGTAGTTTGTCAATTCAGAATTTATTAAGAAATTCATCACAAGTTTTCAAGATATTCAAGATGAATTTCCTTTTCTGTTCTTTTTCTATTTTTCTTTCTTGTGTTACCTATCCACCTTATTTTTCAATGCGGAAGTAAGCCGTTTTCTGTCAATGTGCGAGACTTCCAGTTCATTAGCCGCTGTAGGGAAATAATGAGAAGAATAACAACAAGCAGTAAACGGTAAAACGGTTTGCATTACAAACCAGTGTGTTCATAATTAAGATAATACATGAAAATAATATGGTAAGACACCAGTTTGAAATATCAAGCCGCAAAACAAGCTGTTTTGTACAGCTAATAATAGCTGGAAGCGGATGAGACCAGAAGCAAGACACATTAAATTTACAAATGGCCTCTCCCGCTTTTTTATGGGAAAAATAAGGTGGATATTACACTCCTCATTGATGCTCCACACTCCATCTCAGAAGGTGGCGGAAATGCACTATAAGTTAGTTTGCCAACCGCCACTGACGAAAGAAGAAGGCTTACCCTGCGTCTCAATGTTCATACTATCCATCCTAGTATGTGAGATTAGAATAAGTGTGTCCCAAAGCATAGTATGTCGAAAAGAGTAGGGGAGAGCGGGGCACAAAGTAACACTTTTTGACTTTCTCAAATTGTGTAAATCCACATGGGGTTCAGAGTATCATTTTTTTTATCCACAGTAATTTCACACTTGTCTAGTACAGTGTTTCCCAACCTTTTTTTAGTCGCGGCACCCTTTGGAAATTTTAACAACTTTGTGGCACCCTACAAAATTAATTTTGTCACAATATTAAAATTTCTAACTTCGATATGATAATTTGAAAAGTATAGATATTCGGTACAGCAGGGAAGAACTGCAGAATATAATGTCATACAGATAT